TCCAATTGAAGAACCTGTTTGGCAGTTAGATATATATAGAATACTAGTAAGTATGGAAAAAAGAGGAAATGATTTTAACGGAGGCAAGGCTGTGTTAAAATTTTTACTCATGGAAACAGAAATAAAGCATATGTAACTATCGGGGAAGATTGATAAAAAAGAAATTTGATAAAGAAAACCAAAGACATGCCAATTGAACATTTGAACTACGTACTTTTTAAGGTATGCCTAAATATTAGTAATAAAAAGACCTTTCAATGTGCCTCTTGGTTTAGCTAATCCAGATTCTCTTAATTAAATATGAAATCTGTATATAATTGTGAGGGAGGGTAGAGATATGAATTCATTTAATTTGACACAAGAAAATTAATTGTCAAAAGGTTTTGAGTCGAGATAGAAATAGAATAATAAACAACATAAATACTCCCGTCAACCGATTTCTTTTATGAGATATATAACTAATGAGTATAATTTGCCAACAGCATATATTAATATTTTTTTGGTATTGAAGGCAAAAATAGACCTTTCCCAGCTAAGTTTGTTACATCCAATTACGTTTGTCATATATACAAAAGTTAGGATTAATCGAACCTATATTATTATTCCTCTGGTCCTATTTATAATGCATGAGTTAATGACAACCCGAAATAGGAATAATCCTATTTATAATACATGAGTTAATGACAACCTGAAGTAGGAATAAAGTTAAAAAATTATTATATTTTAAAACAGAATTAATGCAATTTTAACTCTTATTTTATATAAAATATATTAGAAATGCCTATAAATAGGAGCAGACGAGTACATGCTTTAAGTTTTATGAGCCCATATAACAACCCCACTTGGTTCATTAACTATTTGGTTAGAATCATCTTCAATGACCATGCCTATTACCATGAGATGGGCAGGAGGTCACGTTAGTCCGGTCATAAGATGACTCTTTTTTTCTTGGCCGGAGCCATGAGATGACTCTTTATAGTCGAGGAAAGAGTAGAATTATATTATTATTATTATTATTATTATTATTCAGTGTTATGAGAAATAATTATATTGCAAATAAATATGTGTAATATGCAATTTTTAAATATTTTTATAAAAATAAGGATAAATGACCTGCAAGTCCTTAGTTATAGTTTCAACTAATGCTTTTGTTTTGGACTGAAAGTTTCAACCAATGTTTAATTAAGCCTTTGTAGTTTTGCTTTTTATTAGATCTTCATACTTTTACTTGTTTTTAATTAGGGTTAATATAATCTTTGATCCTTCAACTTGCTCTCATTTTGGTTTTAGTCCCTCAAATTTTAAACCATAGGTTTTGGTCCCTGAAGGGGCAAAATGATCCAAGTTTTTATTAGATTATAGGGTCAATGTTATAAATAAAAAGAAACTTGAGAGACCAAAACCTATGATTTGAAATTTGATGGACCAAAATCAAAATGAAGATAAACTTGATAGACCAAAGTTTGTATTACCCTTTTTAATTAAGTACTTGTAGTTTCTTTCCTTTTTATTATGCTCTTATCATTTCACTTGATTTTTAATCAGGTCTCCAAATTTATTTAATTCTTTATTCTACGAATCTTGATAATATTCCTCTGTAAATATAAAATATAATATTTTAATTATAATAATATTAAATATTATTCTATAAATAATCATTTTCTAGAAATAATAAATTATTATATTAAATTTATTTTAATATTTTTAAAATTTTTAATCAAAACTTATATTTATATTTTTCATTTTATAATTAAAATTTATTTTATAATTATAAAATTTGATTGATAATAATAAAATTTACTAAAAATAAAATATAATTGCGATAAGTTTATGATCAATAATTCAAATTAATTAATAATTAATAATTATACTAGATATTTTTAAAAATATATAAATATTACTTTAAATTTATTAATAACATTTTATACTTGAATATTATTTAATTAATTAATTTTAAATTAAAATATAAAGAAAATTCAAAAATAAATGGATCTGGTTAAAAATCAAGTGAAGCTGCAGGAACCTAGTAAAAAATAAGTGAAAGTATAAGGACTTGATAAAAAGAAAAAAATTATAAAGACATAATTAAAAATTGGTTAAAACTATAAGAATATGTAAATTAATTATACCTGAAAAATATATTTAATAAGGTTACTACTATTCTTCTCTAGCTCTATTTATATGCATGTGTGAGAGAAGGTTTTTTTTTATGCTATTTATAAGTCACATTATTAATTTCTTATGTAAATATATAATTTTAATTTTAATTTATTATTTTGTATACTATTATTTTCCTGAAAAGTGTATATATTAAATAGAGATAAAATTAAAAAATTATTAAATTCTAAAATAGAATTAATGAGATTTAAGATTTTTTTATTCCTCTAAAATATACTTAAGTTACTTTATAATTAAGATTGAGTACATTTTCAAGCTAAAGAACGAATAGAGATTCTTTTCTTGACTAAAGCAAACGACAATGAAGTTAGGAAGCAGTTAAGGAAAAGCCAAAAGCTGAGGTGCGTTTTGCCGTTTTGACTTTTCTTGTTGTAATCACTTCCGTTTTTAACTTGACTAGGATTTATTTCTCATGTGATGCACGTAAATAAACCAACAGAATCGAATCGATGCAATAAACAAGAGTACTCTCTCTCTCTCTCTCTATATATATATATATAAAGGGGGAAAATAATTATAGTGGAGGTTCAAACAACTAATTATAAATATCTTCTTTAAAAGAATGAAAATTACAATGAAAAATGCACCAAGAATTCGATCTGAAATAAAATTTCTCTTAGAAATCAATAAGCAGCAAGCTAAGTTTGATTTATTAATAATAATAGCAATAATAGGAATAGGAATAATAACAATAGCAATAGCAATAACAATAACAATAATAATAAAAGTAATACGTTTACCAAAAAAACTAATCGAAATAATGTCAATAGCAATAATAATACTAACAAGAATAATAGTAGCAATAACAACAATAGCAGCAGCAAGCCAGCAATAATAATAATGACGATGCTTGCATTTAGTTCCAAGTGATCCTTGGTTGTCATTTGAGCAATTTGTAAATGTTAACTTCTCTTCTCCTAAGGGCCCTACACATTAAACCCAAATAGATGTCATTAATACTAAGTAACAAAAATAATGAGACACTTGGGGAATTTAAGAAACAATCAAATTAGTCAAATTAGCAACTAACTCATGCAGACACCACTTAATAAAATTAATCAGCTCCATACAAAATAGGGACTCATGAAATACATAGAGATCAGATCTTCCTTCACTTTACCATTCTCTTGGTTTTTGTATCAGAAGAAACTAACAAATGCTTGTCATAATGACAATGATTGCATTTAGTTCCGAGTGATCCTTGGTTGTCATTTGAGCAATTTGTACTCCTCTGGTCCTATTTATAAGGCACTTTCAACATATTTCACACAGATCAAGAAAAACCTTAAAATGCATTTAACTCTCCATTAAAATATAAAAATTTTCTAACTTTACCTATATTTAATATATACACCTTTCAAAAGAAATAACTATCTACACTATAATAAATGAAGGACAAAATAGTACATTCACGTTGAAAATTTAATGAAGCAACTTATAAATAGGACCCAAAAAAAATCTTCTCTCTTTGCCTTATAAATAGGACCAGATGAGTAAATATTAACTTTTCTTCTCCTAAGGGCCCTACACATTAAACCCAAATAAATGTAATTAATACCAGGTAACAAAAATAATGAGGCATTTGGGGAATTTAAGAAGTGATGAAATTAGTCAAATTAGCAACTAACTCATGCAGACACCTCTTAATAAAATTAATGAACTCCTATAATTAAGCCCACTTAGTAAGGTACCAAAAGCTTAAATTAGATGCATGTATATATTCCATAAAAAATAGGGACTTATGAAATACATAGAGATCAGATCTTCCTTCACTTTACCATTCTCTTGGTTTTTGTATCGGAAGAAACTAACAAAGCTGGACAAGCATTCCCAGGCACTACTTGCTCGTGAAAACAAGCTTTGTCAGACCAGGAATATGAGTGTCGCATATATACTCCTCCTAATTTATGCCTTCTAGGTCAAACCAAAACTTCTTTATCTCTTCATTTGACGTATCCTTCATTAACTTTTGTGCATTCCCAATGTCAAACCTTGCAGACACCATCAATTTTCTGTGTTAACTTGTGTTCTCACGTGCGAAATATATATATATTTATATAAACAATAATACGATAGTGTTTTGAAGAACCCCAATGTTTGTAAAAGCTTCCTCAAGTGATTATTTTTAGCTGTTGCATTTTCTTAAAGTGCATGACAGATCATTGATCAAATGAAACAGTTTTCATCATAGTCCTGAATCGAAGGGCCAAAAATTGACACTTGAGCAAAACTTAACTTATCTTCTGGTTTAGAGAATCTAGATTTTTCGGAGGAGCTTCCTTAATTACCTTGCTTTAAAAAATGTGTAGGGTTCATAGACTTTGGCCATTTGAATAAAGTAGCTTGCTTGTTTCTTGCAAAGCATTTGGAGCCTGTTATAAAGGGTGGGATCTAGATGAGTGGTATTTGGTTCCATCAAACCATTTTTCTTTGCCATTTCATTTGAGATGAAGGATGAGAAATCATCGATGTTGTTGAAAAAATTCATTCTGGAGATGCTAATATCATTCCTTTTTGAGTCAGGAAGTAGATTGCACTTGAAGTGATCATACCAATACTTAACCATATCACCGTATGAAATGGAATTTACCAAAGATGACCCAAATTGGTACACAGTCAAGCTAGTGTTACCAAAATTGCTATGCTTTGCCATTATAGCTATTGCAGCATTCACTACCATATCTACTGGAACCTGCAAAAAAAAAAAAAAAAAACTTGATTCTCAAAGTCACAGACTCACTTGTGAAAACTTGATTCTCAAGTCACATACTCACTTGTGGTGTCACAACCAAGTTTTTATCATTTTGCAGGTTCCAGTAGATATGGTAGTGAATGCTGCAATGGCTATAATGGCAAAGCATGGCAATTCTGGTAACACTGGCTTGACTGTGTACCAAATTGGGTCATCTTTGGTAAATTCCATTTCATACGGTGATATGGTTAAGTATTGGTATGATCACTTCAAGTGCAATCTATTTCCTGACTCAAAAAGGAATGATATTAGCATCTCTAGAATGAAGTTTTTCAACAACATCGATGATTTCTCTTCCTTCATCTCAAATGAAATGGCAAAGAAAAATGGTTCGATGGAACCAAATACCTGTTAGCGGCAGTACCTGCAGGATAAATAGTTAATCCAAGTCACGTCCTAAGGATGCTGTCCTTAAGAGCTATTCCGTAACCACTGGTAGATAAGGATGCGGCACTCCCCAAGATTAAACGGATCCTTCCTGTAAAACAGAGTGAGCAGAATAACAGAAGATACTAGTAAACTCAACAAGTAAGAGAGCACACAAAAGGGGGAAGAGAGGAGCTCAAAAACTCTAGAGCTGTGTGTCTTTGCACCTCTAGCTAATACCCCTTATATAGGCTCCAAGATATGAACATTTGCTTGCCTCTTAATGACAAAATTTCAGTTTTGTACGTTGAAGACATTGAATGACTTATTTGCATGATTTGAACCGTTGGAGGCAAAGAAATGAAGCATTCCGTTTTGATTTTCAAAATCATCATTTAATATATTAAAAATGTTTAAAAGCTTTCAAGGCGTTGCTCCATTTTGAATTGATGATTAAATCATCCAAACGGTGGCATTGTGGTTTCATAACGCATTGAAACCGTTTGGCACTTTAAGTGCAATAAAAACCCACCGTTTGATATTTGAAATCTTCAACACCCATTAAGAATTTTTATTGCTCCATGTTTAAGGCATTAAAAATATTCAATATTTAGTTTTTCTTTATTAATGCTCAATTTGTTTTTTATCTTCCCACATTCCCAATTAATGTAGGATCCTTTCTTTGACACACCCACAAAATATTATAACAATACCACTCATCTAGATCCCATCCTATATAACAGGCTCCAAATGCTTTGCAAGAAACAAGCAAGCTACTTTATTCAAATGGCCAAAGTCTATGAACCCTACACAAATTTTAAAGCAATGTAATTAAACAAACTCCTCGTAATCTAGATTCTCTAAAGCAGAAGATATGTCAAGTTTTGCTCAAGGGTCAATTTTTGGCCGTTCTATGCAGGACGATGATGAAAAATGTTTCATTTCGGTTTTCTAACAATTATGTAAGAGTCAAAACCATGCCTTTTTTTTAAGAAAAAAATTTATCCAAACACTATTATGCATGTCAAAATCAATTATAAACAGAAACTAAACACCCTGGCCTACACATGTAAAAATCAATTATTAACATAAAATCATGCATGGTTGTCTCATAATTTCAAACACTCCTATATACATAAACCAAAAATCATGGCTATCTCATAAGGTTTTTTTTTTTAAAAGAAAAAACTACTATGATTTTGGCGCTCATAATTGTTTGTTTCTATCTGATTTTTCAGAATAAATCATACAAGACTCCTTTAAGTTTTCCTTAAATCATGTCAATCTCTCATTTATTTCAAAATAAATATAAATCTAGGTAATTTATATTTATTATTTCAAATTTATTTGCAGTGTAAAAAATAATATGATCTCTAATTTTCTTTTCTACGTATAGGTATTCTCCTATTAAAATCAATAATATTCGAGCACTATTCTTTTTCTCTACCACAAAGATAATCCCTGATTTTTCCTTTTTTGAGAGGGGGGCTGTGGAGAAGCTAATTAAGCAGCTATAAGTTAGCTAGGAGATTAAAATAGTCATTAAACTCAGAACAATGCGTGAAACTTATTAATCAATCATCATCATCATCGTGTGCAATATATGAGTATGTCAAATCAGAGCCAAATGGTAAATAGCTAACGCCACGTCCAAAATTCCTTCTGGGTCCGAAAATACTCCTTCAAGCTGCCCTTTCCCATACGATAAAGCTAATGGATCCATCATTCTGAGTTGTTATAATTAGTGGCACAAAAGTTAAAAAAGAAGACACGATTGATCATCAATAGTATTTTGAATGTTTTGTATAAATTAAAGATTTGAGTTATACATATTAATTAATAACATACAACGTTACCTATTTCCTTCTATCCATCCGGGAAAAGGTTCTTTATAAGTGCTTTCAATCACAGATGGACGAAGAATGACAGTTGGTATATCACCTTTCATTTTGGTAATCAGCATCTCACCCATCGCCTTTGTAAATGAGCAAGTGTTTGGCCATCCATGAATTTTGACCCTACAAAAATTATAGTGTCCAAAATTTTTTTAAAAAAATATAATTAATTGGTCCACATAGGTATTTATAGTTTAAAGATTTTAAAATCAAAATCAGTACAAAATACTCCCATGGTTCTAATTACAATAGCTAGTTAAGAGTTTGGTTTTGATTTTAAATATAAGATCTCTATCTATTTTATCTCTAGTATTTATCATTTTCTCCCAAACTAATTTACTTAACTTATAAACTGATATATAATCTAATATTATGCAAGAGTATTTTAGAGAGATCAAGTCATATTTATTAGAACTAATTTATGGTTAATACAATATTTGGTCCTTATACTTTGCCCCCATTTTGGTTTTTATTCTTATAATTCCAAACCATAGGTTTTGATTCCTCAAGAGGCAAAATAATCCAACTCCTTGTCAAAATATGGGATTAACATCTTAGATAGAAAGAAATTTGATGGACCAAAACTGATGGTTTGAAACTATAGGAGGATATCTGTGTTTAGGAAAAAAAAAATCTGCATCCACTTCTTTCCTGGCCGGCTGCTTTTCTCCTAAGCCGAAGGTAGCAGGCCCACTAATGCCCACTTCTTAGCCCAGGCCCACGATAATATCAAGCAGTTTCATTAAAGATCCCTAATTGTTTAATTATGCGTTTTCTAATTGCTCATAAACTGGGGGTTTCTAAAATCAAAGCTATTATATGCTGCCTGGGGTGTATTTGGCAGACTCCAATTTAAGGAATAATTATTGTTGTTGTTGTTTTATTAGTTTATTAGTTTAGGGAAAACTAGAAATTCAACAACCAATTTATTTATTTAACTTATGGTAACAAAAATATGGACGGTGATGGAATTACGTGGCAGGACATAAACTGATTTCAAATAACAGCTAGGCGACGGGCCACTCTGACAACAATCCGCCTTTCTCATCCATGCACCATGCTATAAACCCCACTCAGTTATGCAGACGGTAATAACTTGGCGTACTGTTCCAGTTTTATTTATGAGTCAGGGAGGAAAGATATTTTTCGGTTATATTGTCAATTTGCTTTTTTAATACTCTTCCGATTCTTAATATAGGACCTAATTATTGAGTTGATTTTGATCATAATATAAAACCTATTTCTCATATTTATTAATTTTTCTTAAATTACTTTTATGGAGCTTCCTCAACCATAGTCAACCAGAAGAAGAAGAGAGGATCTTAAGGAAAATAACTATGATATTTTAGGAAAAACATATCATATTTCTTACAATTAACTAACTTACCTAAATTTTTTAATCTAATCAAATTAGTTAAATGGGTCTTATATTAAGGATAGGAGGAGTAACAATTTTACCCCTCATTTTTTTGGGAGTGAATTTTTACCTCTCATTTATCTATCTTCTACTTTTTTGTTACTGAAATCTCATAATACCCTTGAAGCTAAAATGGGTCGGGTGCAATTGAAATGGGTGAGTTGCATTATTAATTATTAGTATGATGCCCATACATTTACTGACGGCTTCCTTCCATTTGAGTAAACAACAAAACTCTCATGCTATAATAAACATTTCCTTCTATTATTGTCTTGATTATGCAGCTCACTTTAAAATGATTGCAAGTATTCACAGGAGATTTTTAATATTTTAAACCAATAACTAAATTTACTAAATAAATATGTGGTTATTTAATTTAATTAATAAAGAAAAACAAGTTTTTATATGGAATATGTGAGTATCCAAAAGTTTTTTGATCAACATCTTTATTTTTCTCTAATTGAATCCTCACAAAATATATCTTAATAAATTAGAAATATAAATATAGAATAATGTATTATTATAAATGTGGTCCTTCAATTTTGCGTTTGAAAAAAAGTTGATATAGAGCAACATGCACCCATCCGTGGTGGAGAATATTCTAGTTGGGTAAACTGTACTCCTCTATATGGGTTGGCAAAAAAGAAAAAGAAAAGTACTTTATTCCTATGAAGTATTGTGTATATTAAACAAAGATGAAATTAGAAAATTGTTAAATTCTAAAACAGAATTAATGAGATCTAAAGATTTTTTTTTGGTGACTGGATTTCTAAGTTTTAATTCTGCATTATGGAAGCAACTGCAAATCGGATCACTAAACCACCACAAAGATGGAGAACTGACGGTGGCGCAAGGAGGGAACGAGCGTCTTGCTTCCGAACCTACGAGCTGTGATTGGTCGCTAAAGAATTGCTCTGACTTTGCCGGCGAACTGCGACTGGTTGCAGACTTACAGCAGCATCTCCAAAATTTAACTCTATTAACCGTAATTGTGACACAGGCATAGCTAAACTTTATCAACGTATAGGAAGGAGAAATAATCACTTTTTTTCTCTTCCCAAGTTCGAACTCATAATTTCACACTTTACAAAACTTTAAGGAAGATGTTTGATGTTATTGGACGATAAAACCCAGCAAATTATGATCACTGAAGTCATGGAAACACAATTACAAAGTAATCAAACTTGGATATTTCATTATTAGACACTGTTTCAATATTATCAAAGGATAAGCAAACTTGAAAATTATCGATATTAATGTTCTTTGTTACTTTTCATCTCTTTGTCCATATTCTATGTTAAAGTTGTACTACATTCGGTCTTTAATATAAAAAATAATTTAATTTTTAATTTGATTTTAAATATAAGATTTCAATCCATTTTTACTCTCACATTTATTTATTTTTTTAAAGTAGTCCTTGCAATAATTGCATATGTTAAAGATTTCATTAAATAGTAGTTCTAGCTAATATATATGATTAGCGAGGGTATCTTAAGAAAAAAAACATCTTTTTAATATAAATAACTAATTTAATAAACTTTTTTAGTATATTTAAATTAGTCAACTAACTTTTATATTAAGGACAGGAGGAATTCATTTTGCATTCGTTAATTATTATCAGGCAATGAATTGACTTGCACTATTTTGTTATTCAGTATTAATTAAAAAAAATCAGGATCTCCAAGCAATTTCTGCATGAGATGAGGGAGAAAAAGGATGAAACACAGAAGATGATAAAGAGTGTGTTTGGATTAGCGGTGACAAAAATAACTTTTTTTGAATTTGACTGGGTAAAAAGTTAGATAGTATAATATGATTTATGTTTGGATTGAGTTTATGAAAAAGTCAGTTTGAGAAGTTAAAACTTGTTTGGATGATTAATGAAAAAGTAAGTTTAAATATAAAATGACTTAAAAGGATATAAATTTTTTTAAGTAATACATACCTAATATTATATGTATATAATGTGACCATTTTAAAAGAAATATTAAAAATAAATAAATTTAATTTATTATTATGAAGAAATTAAAAAAATACTAAATATTTAATTAAATATATTTAATGGATAAATATATATAAATTAGAAATCATATACATATAATTTCTGTTTTTCTCGGTTTTTTTTTTCAGCCACAATGAGTGAAATAAACACATGTAGAAAGCCAAAGTGGATACCACTAGCCTGTTGGCCTAGTGGTGTGGGTGTGTGCGTGATGCGGGTTCGATCCCGCTCTATTGTAACTCAAAAAAAAAAAAAAGCCAAATTGGATATTTGAGAGGTAGGTGAGAAATATTAATGCTGACCCACTGGCAAAAACAAAATGAGTGAGCTTCTCCTTAAAAGGCCCGTTTACCCCTAAAAGTCAGATTGCAAAAACGGTATTCCAAACACACTCTAAATTCAAAAACCCGTTTTTGTCATTTGGGAAGTCAGTTTGGGCCTCCGATCCCAAACAGACCCAAACACGTCCGCGGAAGCAAATAGCGCAAAGTCAGTGGAAAACATATATATAAAGCACTCTGCGATAGCTGGGAAACAATATTCTATATAAACAATGATTTATTTTTCTGGGAAATGTTACGCTCATATGAATATTTTATAATCCATATTTTCTGATCTCGAAATCCCCAAGGTTCTTAATTACTTATAGAATATGCCTATTTCTCCATTTTGTGCTGAGGCATCAAAGCAGCAGCACTACTGTTTCTCACCGGAGTCAGTCTCAGTCGTCCGCCATGCTTCGATCCTCAACTTGAAATTAGCATTCAGTAGTTTTCTCTTTTTACTCTGCTTTTCCATTGGATTATTATTATGTGACCTCATTTTCATCTTCGTTTGTTGTTGTTTCTGCTTCTGCCTTTTGCACAATTGTTCATTCTCTACTTGGACAGATTCAAGGTTGGTCGATCTCTGAAGCTTCTCTGCGCACAATAATCTTCATCCCTTCATTACTTTGCTCGATCAAATTGCATGCACATTAAGGAAAGATAGATGATTTTGTATGTGCGGGAAAAGTAGATTAGATTTATTGGCGAAAACTCAAGCCCCAAACTGCGGAACTATATATATGACTTCAATTTTAATTATTATCACTTTGGTTCAGTCTCTGTATATATATATTGCATATGCAGGAACAGTAATAATGAAAAAGGTAGGTGGTGGAAGGCCAAAGGATAATGATGTGCGGGGACACGTTGAGGTACTGGCGGAAGGACGAAGATGGAAGTGTAAATATTGTGAATTGGAATTCTCAGGAGGTGCCAGCAGAATCAGATCTCATATTAATGGAGAAAAAGGCGGAGGCATTCGAGTCTGTCAAAAATTTGTTTCAGACAAAGGAAACTCCAATGATCTCAGAGACAACCTCCAACATTGTCACCAAGGTTACGTGATTATATATTATTATGCTCCCTTCTATCTTTTTTATAAGTCATGCAGAGGGGATTTTTTCTTTTTGTTTTTTTGCCAGCTTTTTTTTAAAGATATCATATGTGATATTTATTACATTTCTCCCACGTTGCCGTTATTTAATGTTGACCCAATTATTTACAGTTACGCTATACTGTAGGTTTAAATGAAGATAAAATTAATTAGATGCTCCTTCACTTTTCAGACAGAGGTGAAGAGTTTTAATTTTAACTCTTCCCTTAGTTCTGGTAAATTTTTTTACAAGTCATGCTCAGGGAATTTTTTTTTCCCTTATAAGAAATCTCATTGGACGGTCTATTAGATTATAGCATGCCCAATGAAGCAGGACAAATCCAAGCTGATGCCAAGTATCAGGAAGGGGTTCGAGTTGTTGGGTCTTCTTCTGTTTCCGATGGGGAGAATCAAGACTTGAAGGTTATACAATATGTGTTTGAATGCTTAAGGTTAGATTCATACTTCTGACTGTATATGTGCTTCTAATATGTATAGATGAATGTATTTTATTTTTTGTTTTCTTTTTTCAAATCACTCTAATTCTATGCTTTGATAAATATATCATTCTAATTAATTCTTCAGTCCTGAAGATAAGGTTTTTTGTTCCCCACTTTCATATTTGTCTCAAGAAGAATTTGCCACGCTTAAAGCAGGGGCTTTTTTGGATTCATTGGTGAGTATTTATTTATTATATTTTTATATTCTATTTTAATATTAATGACAAAGGTTTTAGTTATATTAATAATATTCAGTTTCATGCATCCTTAGGTAATAGATACTTTTGCGGAGATGTTAACCCATATTGAGCGAAAGAAGAAAATTACACCTTCGAATTGGTATCTTCCCGTGGCATTTTCGGTGATTTCCGATTCCCTTCTTTGTTACATGATGCATGTCAATAGTTGTTTAATCTAAAACTAGTTCTTTGTCATTGGCAATAACTCTTGACGGTTCATCCGTGATGTAATTATAGGAGGCAGCACTCAAAGGCAGCATAGGTCACTTCTTGGGCTTTGTCCATCGCCAAAAAATAAAAGAAAATTATATGTCTGACCTGAAATCCTGTGAGAAGGTATGTCAGTCTTTTCAACTCTTTATAGAAAAGTTCCTCTATCAACATGATTACTTTTTTTTTTTGTTTTCCTACTGTGTGCATGTCAATTTGATTTTTGTCATCACAAATGATAGGTGTTTATTCCCGTTCACATTGAAGCAAAGCCAAATTGTGGACATTTTTATTTATACATTATCCATGTAAAGAATGAAGAGATTGAAATATGGGATTCTCTGCTCGATACATGTGTGGCTGAAACAGATCGCAATGAGAATACAAGAAAATTGGTGAGATTGGTGAGTGTTAGATAATTGCAATATTGACAACATTAATCGATCAACTATATCCGGTTGCTTGCAATGGAAAAGCTCTTCAAGAAAGTAGCATTTACGAAATTTCTTTCCAAGAAGGAAATCAACATCGTCGAACAGCCTAATGGGTGCGTGGACGATTATTATGTAAAATTATATAAACTTTACTAGAAAAAGTTCTTATGATGACCTTATCATATATATTTCTTTTAATTTGTAGATTTGACTGCGGTATCTTTGTTATGAAGTTCATGGAACAATCATATAATTATGTGAAGAGAAACTCTTCATTTCAGGTATGACCTCTTACAAACATGTAGTCATATAGACTCATGGGTAAGCACTAACACATGCCCGCACAGTCCTACACGAGCACGCAAGTACTCTCTTTTACCCCATGAGGGGGAAATGGAGGGAAAGGTAAGGATGAGAAAATTTTAATGAGATCAATTTTAAAAAAATTGAAGAAATGGGATTTTAAAATTTTAATAAAGAGAATATGTAAAATAAAAAGAGTACTACAAATTAATTAAAGACTTTTAACCCAATTTCTTTAATTTTTTAAATTGGTCTCATTAAAATTTTCTCCCTCTTTTCCCTCCCTCCGTTTTCTTTATCCCAAACAGACCCTTAGTCATACAAATGATATGGACGACTGCGTAGTTTGAGAGTGAAAAAGAAAGGGAGGTGTAACAACTCAATACGAGGATATTCATAAGAAAGGCCACGTGTCAAGAAAATGGAAAAGGGAATGTGTTTATCATGAGGACGTTGCAAATGTGGGAGTGAGTAGTGTAGAGGTGGTTACACTATATTAAGGGAGAGGTGAAATGAGAATGGGGTGTGGATGATTTGGATGATCTTTTCTCTGGTCCCATTCTTCGGGAATCTTCTCTCTGTGACTCTCTTCTTCTTCTTCTTCTTCCCTCTTCCTTGTGTCTCGTCCCTCTATTTCCCTTTTAATTCATTTTACAGTGTTCTTTCAATGTATTTTCAGATGCCTGTAATTGTTACAAATTAGATTGAATCTTAAATACATACTTGTTATTCCGTTGTGTTGAGATATTACGATTTAGATCGTTACAGGAGGATTTGGCTATGAAGTTGCTCAACAGTGACCTGAACCAAGAAAAATACAATCTCTATGACAAAGCAAGACGGCACTATGCACAAGTTGAACAGCAAGATGGCAATAAAAGATTACGAATTGACAGAGTGAATAGACAAGATCGTTTAGAAGAATGTATGAGTATCAGCATACAGAATTTATATCCACCTCCATTTATTTGTCATTTATGAATTTGTTGAAGTTTTTAAACTTAAAAATTTTCATAACTTTTTTTTTGCCAAAAAAATTGTCATAACCTTAAAAAATTACTCTCATCAAATTGTAACCTTCTCTCATATTTTCGTCTTGGCCACTCTCTTCTCCATAACTTTTTGATTATTTAATGAGGGAAAAGTGCGGAAAAATACTTAATGCCGCCTAAATTTTTTGGTGACTTACATTTTGAATTCTTGAAATCTTCCAAAATGTGATTTCCACATAGGGACGGACAGAGTATATATACAACTGCTTAAAATTTGAATGCCATATTATCTAATTTAATTTTTTTACTTTTCTCACTATCTTTACTTAATTATTTATTACTATTTTTGTTGCTAGAATCTTCCAAAGATTATATATTGCCTACAACAGTTTTGATAGGGTGGACGTTTCGAATTTATACTAAACAAATATGGGAGTGGATAATGGATGACAAGGTGTCAGCAATTGGCGTTTGGGGAATGGGGGGTTCAGGAAAAACAGCCTTGGCAACCCATATTCATGACAAGCTTTTAGAAGAAGCCAATGGTGACATTCAAGTTATTTGGGTGACTGTATTACAAAATATTGACATCTACAAGTTGCAAAAAGTCATAGGGAAATCAATTAAATTGGATATATCTAATGAGCCTCGTAAAAGAATTGCCAGAAAATTATTTCAAGCATTCAAAGAGATGAAGAAGTGTGTTATTATTTTAGATGATGTTTGGGATCATTTCTCTCTAAAGGACGTTGGATTTCCCATGTTAGATAATCGAATTAAACTGATTTTGACCACTCGCATTAGGGAGGTGTGTCAAGACATGGACTGTGAGAAGGTAATAAAAGTGGAACCTTTAGTTATAGACGATTGCTGGGATTTGCTTGAAAAGTTTTGGGATCCCATGAAGAATTGTCTTTGGAAGTGAAGGGCATTGCATGGCAAGTGGTACAGGAATGTGAGGATTTGCCCCTTGCTATTGTTAGAATCGCAACAAGCATGAAGGGGAAAACGCAGGTTAGAGAATGGAGTCATATGTTGAAATGTCTTAAAAACTTGGGCAATGGGCAATATGAAATGGACAAATGAGTATTTCCAGTTTTGAGATCTAGCTATGATTTCTTAACTAACAAATTGCAAAGATTCTTCTTGTATTGTGTCTTCAATATCGCTGGTCCTTTTTGGGATGAAGATGCTGATCATTTGATAAGAAGGTTTGTTTATGAAAGCATTGATGAGACAACGGAGTTGAGTGTGCAGTATGACGAAGGTTACAACATGATGCATAAATTAAAGAATCACAGCATGTTGGATTATGATGATAATAATTATTACTGGATGACACACAAATTTCTTGCAGTCCTGGCTACTGGTATTGTAGAAGACACTGGTAAAATTATGGGAAAAGCTTGTAAGAATTTGACAGAAATACCAAGTGATGACCAATGGAAAGAAGATCTACAACAAGTTTTTCTAATGGGAAACAAGATACAAACAATTCCAAATGGCATATCTCCTAAATGTACTCAACTTTCGACGTTGCTTTTGAATGATAATGTAAAACTCAACCACATCACTGATGAGTTTTTCAACAACATGCCCGCTCTTAAAACACTTGATTTGTCTAAGACTGCAATTCAGCGTTTGCCTGAATCGGTATCCAACCTAAAATGTCTCATTGCATTGTTACTTTCAGGATGTAGGCAATTGAGGTACATTCCTTCATTAGGAAAATTGAAACGGTTAATATCACTGGATCTATCTTGTACTGCCATCGCTGAGGCACCTGCGGGTTTGGAATCATTGGTCAATCTTAGATGCCTGAATCTACTCGAGGTTGATAAGTTGGTAATATCACCATCGCTCATATCCAAGTTGATCAATTTAAAGTGTCTTGAGTTGGGTTGGGCCCAATGCTTAACGGATGCAACAGCACAAAGTGTACAAGGTTTGGAAAAGTTGGAAGTTATATGTGCCTACTTTCATGACATTAGCATCTTCAATACCTTCATGAGGTTTGTGGCCGAAAATCGTGAAATCAGAAGTTATCGATTAACTTTATGCCATGAAATTTATAATTTTTTTGATGATGATGATGAGAAAATAAACACAGAATATTCTTGATGGTACGAATTTCAAAAATAGAGAAGCAGTAGTACTCCCAAGAGACATCAAGAAGTTGTTTGTAACAGCGTGTTTCCTAGGGACAGGTGGTAGATCCCTATGCAATATTTTATCACATGCCCACAACAATAATCCAACCCAAATTGAACTGTTGGCAATTAGCAACTGTGAAGAGGTGGAGTGCTTGTGCTGTTGCAGTTGCCGCTTTTGCTTCTCTTCCCAACCTGTTGGACGTCTACACCTCTGGGAAATGAACAACTTGAAAGACTTGGTGTCACCATCTGCTTGTTTCTTGCATCAATCCACCCTATTTGCTCATCTCACACATCTCCGAATTTGGAAATGTAACAGCATAAAGACTCTGATGCCGTTTAGGTTATTAGCACTCCTCCAAAACCTGCGCACCATTTGCGTTGAAAGGTGTGAGCAGATGAAAAAAATAGTTGGAGAGGATCATTCTGTAATGGAACTTACTGCTAGTGGTGACCTCGTGGCCCTCCCTTGACATCTCTGAACTTAGAGGATATGATAGAATTAGATTTCGTGTACGGAGGCATCATGCTCTGCCCTTCTCTCCGAGCATTCTCTGCTTCTTCTTGCAAGAAACTAAATCCCCCTCAGATAGCGATCTCAAATAATGGAAGTGTGCTTCCGATGCAGAAGTTCTCATTTGGTAGATACTATTGGGGAAAGTGATTAATCAGGTCCATATCTGCCCCACTCTGACTTACTTTTATAATATGTTTATGATGAATATCGTTACTGTTTGTGTTTATTTCTTCTCGTGCTTCAAATGATCATTCATATGTTTCCTTTTGTCTTCTTTATTTCTCTCCATCTGCCCGCGTTGTACTTGATTTTTGTGATCGTCACTAACCTTGCACGCTCATATCAGTTTCTGAATGCCTGCCAATAAAAGCAATTAATGTTCCAATAATTGGCATTTTGTTTGTTATAAATTACTACATCGAATACCATAAACAAATCTCAACAAAGGGAAGCCAATTTGTAGGATATACAACCTCATCAGCTCTTAATTTTTTTTTTCCCTCATTTGAATGTTCGAAGTGTGCACCAGTGCTACTACTCAATCCGGGATATTAATCATTGTGAATATATCTCATCTCCTAAATTGCTCATGATATTTTCAATTATTCATTCAGTCAAATATAGTTGCAAAGTTGTTTGTGGCATGTGTCTCGATTATCCTAATTCTTTTTTGTAATGTCATATGCAGGATACGGTTTTTGCTGCATAGGACGCTGAAAGTGATGAGTTAAGCCATCATTTAAGAACTTCTTTTGATTCTATATTTATATTGTTTGCTTCTATATTTGTTCAACTACACTATTTTAATCGGTACATTTATGATGAAACTAAGTTTGTAATGCAACTACTTGCTTGTTTTAACTAAACTATTTGTTGGAAGGATGACACGAACACTTATTATTGAACTCAAGATGAATTACATAGGCAAATTTACATATAAACTCTGAATATGGGACTTCTTTATGAATAAAACCTTGCAAATTTTACTAAAATACTTTCAATTATCTTAAAATTGGTTGCCCTTAGTTTCTACCCGTAAGGCAACATTTTGGAGAGTGATTTGTTTCTACTTATAAGACAAATTAGAAAAGTTGAGAATTATTTAGTACTTTTGTTTTTTAATTATTAGTGACCTGAGGGAGAAAGTGTGGCTCATTATAAAGGTCTATATATCATAATTACAATGATTCCGTATTTTTCTAATTTATCTCTTTACAAATTAAAATACCTCGATCTAATAGGTGCGCTGTTAGTTGACTGGGAAAATATATCTTTAATATTATCATTTTTATCTTTGACCAAAAAAAATATTATCATTTTTATCATTTTAAAGACAGTAATTTTTTGTTGTTGTTGTTTTTTTTATTATGTACTGTTATATTTGAAATGAAACCATTTATCAATTCTCGTTAAATTGTCAACGTTCTTGTTTAAGTGAAATCATTATAATTTTATATGCAGTAGATTGTACATAATTTTCAACGTTTTAAAAAATAAGTATTCCAGTTACAAATAAAAATTGATTGTAAACTTTTAAAATGTTTTGGTCACAAATTTACGAAAATGCACACGGCATATCTGTTCTTCTTTTTTTTTTTATTTTTTATCTGAGCATATCTGTTCTTCAAGATGCTACATGTTAACTATGAATGCCAGCCATACAGTACAAATAAGTATTTCGTCATCATGAATCAAAAAGCTGACTTCGAGGAAAAATCATATTGTACTTGTAGTTGAATTATTTTCAAAATTAATGTTTAAACTTTAATCAAACTTGGAAAAAAAAAAAAAAACGAAAGATGCCATATGAATGGCAACAGAAGGAAAGAAACAAAATTCACCTCTTTTGAGAATAATGTTGTGACAAGAACTGACGATTAATTATAATTATAAATGGATAAATAAACAGCAGTGTTTTATTTAAATAATATGTTTCATGTAAAATTGGAAAACAGGCATGAGAACATCCAAATTATTTAAAGAAAACAGGCACACACCAGCACTCCATGTGTGACTCTGTTTCCATCACGCCTGCATTGTCTTCACTTTATATAGCAAACCAAATTATCTAATTCAACATAAGTCAACATGTTGAAGACGACAAATCAATCAGACATCGAAAGGCAATATTGAGTTCTCATCAGTTCCTATTTTAGTAGCTGCCGGCACCATGAGAGACAGAGATCTTTCTTCTTATCGCTTGTTAACTGATTTCTACAGTGTACATATATATTGCCATTGCTTGCTTGTGAAGTAGCAGAGAGTTAAGCTTGTGAATTGAAGGAAGAGAGATTTGAGATTGCAACAGAGAGAGAGAGAGAGAGAGAGAGAAGGGATATGGAAGGAAGTAAAGGTGGTGAAGTGAGAAGGATTCATATAGTGTACTTCCTCAGTTTGATGGGTCGTTCTGAAGAACCACATCTTATACGTATTCATCATCTGGTTCGTAACGGGGTCTATCTTCGAGGTGGCTTCATTTCCCTGTTTCTTTCACCGCATATTTGTTAGACTTAAGAAAGTTGCTCTCACTTTTGACCTCTGTACTTGGTACTTTGTTTCTCACTTGCACATCATAATTTGTTGATTCTCACCTCTAATGTTATACGTTTCTCTCTTCTTTCTTTTAATACTCTGTTTCTTTAAGGTTTTAGAGTTGTCTTTAAAACATGAAAAACCACATTATTAAGTGTTTTTTTTTTGTACGTAAAGATTTAGTTAAAACAATAGATAACAATTACGGTTTATGTGATGGTTGGTTTACAAATTACAAGCTCCTCTGTCTTTCTGTGTCGTGGCCTGTTCTTGCTTTTAGAGGTCATGATTTATGAACTTTGTTTATGTGATCAAAGATGTGAAGAGATGGATTGGAGAAGTGAGAGGGAAGGATTTGACAGAGACATATGCATGGTCCTACAAAAGGTAGAATGAATGGCATCTTTATACTCTGTTTTTTATTTTTTTTGAATGAGTTGAGGTGTGCGATTTGTGGATTCGAATTTTAAGCAGGAGATACAAGACAGGTTACGTGTGGCAAGACTTGTTAGATGATGATCTCATTACTCCAATCTCTGATAATGAATACGTCCTTAAAGGATCTCAAACACACCCTCCCTCTTTTGGTATGTCCTTCAAATGAAATAATGGAGTGTTGTCATTTGGAAATAATTTTCAAAATGAGTTATGTAAGTATTTGTTGAGAAGACTCTTTGATTATGCAGAAACTTTTATATTTGGTGAAAGGAAAGCTTCCATATTGGACAAGGAGATTCACGTTCAAGTGCATGATACAGAAGGCAAACAGTTGAAGCAGAAGCAACCATTGATATCGGAAGAACTTCAACTTGAAAGATTTCCATATTTCAAACCAAATTCTCTGGATCAGGTACTATCAGAAATAAGCTCTGATGGGTCCACATTACCAGATGAAAGTGAATCCTGTAAAGTTGAACCAGACAAACTCGTGGACACAGGCAAACACAACCCAGAGACATCATTTTCAATTTCATTATCATCTTCTTCTTCATCATTATCCCCCTTGAAAGGAAGTAAGAGATTTTCAACAGGAGCTTCTGGTTTGTTTCGCAGCTTGATCACCTGTGGAGCCTTAGATCCAAACGACGACGTTGTGGTCATGCTGAACCAAGCTCATAAAACTGTTTCGAAGAACTCTAACACCCTCGATGATGGTAATGTTAACGCACAAATTCGCAAACATAATAGATTTGGAGGATCAGCTAGGAATCTTGGAAGTTGTTGGAATCCCCAGCAGGAGCATGATGAAGCCAGGTAAGTAAATGAGAAATTGGGCCCAGAAAATTTCAAGTTACAAATTATGACAAAAATCAAAGTTTTTCTTCATAACATGAGCTTTCATATTTGCAGAAAAAGCTGTGATGAGAAGAGCACAAACAAGAACAAGAAGAAGCTAGGCGAGTTTCTGAATCAGATTTCTCACAAACCATTTGGAGGGTCAATTTTCTCTAGATGAGAAGAGCCAGAAAATATTAAAAAAAATACGTTGTAGGGAAGAAAAACAGGGCGTGTTTGGAACCAAAAAGCCCATCAGGGTGAAAGATCCATTTTATACAGATTTCAAGTTCTATGTAGTCATGCAATTTGAAAAAAAATGTCGAAATGATAATTCTTTTTGACCTCATCAGATTCCACGAGCACTATCCCATTAATGACTTATTTTATTTCATGTTATTTGTTACTTGTTAATTAAACTAAATTAAGAATTTCAATCTATCTTCGGCCTCTACTTTTGATTTGTAGCTACAATTCTTCTGCCCGCCACCAATTTTGGGGCTGGGCCTTTTTAAAAAAATTTAAAATTAAATTCCAGTCATAATCTAAAATTTCATAACCCATATTAATTAATTCAACCTTTAAAAATCGTTATATATACTACACTTGTAGTCTTGTGGTCAAACTTTTTTTGTTTTTAAGGAATTCATTCTCATCACCATGAGAGCGTTGAAGCTTAAGCTTACCTCCTCGACTTTTCCTAGTATGAATTATGCAGAATTAATGGTTGCTTCTATATTCAGAACATTGATTCATCTCCTATCATTATTTACCATTAATTCTTTTATAAAAAGACAATTATATGCATCAAATAAAAAGATATTACAACACAGAGTGTATATAGGGACAAAACATAAGAAGAAAATAAGTTCATAAATTGAGGTTTGGTGAGTCTTTTATTCACATCCCAACTGAAGATAATTTGTCATTAATTCTTTGATGAGTCTTTTGAACTTGTATTTACATTACAGACAAAGGTGCCAGTGCCATAGCTTCTTGTCTTTGGTTGTGGGCGTGTTTGGGACCATATTTAGAGGCCCAAACTGACTTCCCAACTAGCAAAAAGCGTTTTTTGGATTTGGAGTGTATTTGGAATCATATTTTTACAATTCAACTTATGTGTGCAAATAGACTTTTAAAGAGAAGCTCCTTTTTATTGCTTTCACCGGTGCCTCCAAAAAAGCTGTTGGAGCATTAATGGTAATTTAAAATTTTCACCTATTCATCGTATATTCGATTTGGCAGTCTGCATGGATTTATTTTTACCTGGGAAGTCTGAAAAACGAGAAGGACAACATGGGCGCAGCTCGGAAGTCTGAAAAATATTCAGTTGGGACCATCAAAGTAATTTATATATATCTATTAAATATATTTAATTAAATATTTTAGTATTTTTTTCAATTTCTTCCTAACAATATATTAAATTTCTTTATTTTTAATAATTTTATTTTCAATACTTCTTTTAAAATTGTCACATTATATATATAATATTAGATATATTTTACTTAGTAAAATTCATGTTCTTTTTAATCATTTGCATCTAAACTTACATTTTTATTAATCATCCAAACAAATTTTTGCTTCTCAAACTGATTTTTTTTACAAAACTCAATCCAAACAATGTTAAAGGTAGTCCTCATAGTAACTGCCAATATTAAATGTTTCATCAAATGATAATTCTAACTAATACCCATGATTAACAAGGGTATTTTAGAGAAGACAATATCTATTTATTATAAATAACTAACTTAACTAATTTTTTTAATCTATTTAAATTAGTCAACTAACTTTTATATTAAATATGAAAGATACTATTTAGGACCAGAAATAATAGGAAGAGGAAAGGAAAATGAAGAAAGAGTCAAAGTTTAACGCACATTACCCAAAATAGGCAGTCCGCTGAACTGAAACTGACCACTCAAGCTGAAGACAAGAGAGAATCAAACGTAACCACAACCTAAACTTACTAAGATCCACGACACTGCCATCTAACCAAAATTGATTCAACCAATTCGTTTGATTGAATTGACTACATTAAATTGATGAATACTAGTATTTAGAAACCGAATTTCATTATTTATTTATTTTGTTTTCAACCCATCAGTTTTGACGTCATATATTATCTTCTCGAGCGTGTATTCATTTTCAAACAATATATTGGATTGCGGAGGTAAGAAAACTATTAATTGATTTAATTCCAAGAATAAGTGATATTTTTTCATTAGTATTTTTTACAAACTCCTACTCATTGGTATGACAGTATAATTACTCAGCCTCAGGTAGTCGTTGCCTGTCATTACTGTCGTATCCCCATTTTCATAAAGTTCCAACTAATAGCGACAACCGCACTATCCTTCGATGATATTGATTTTAATATCTTAGATAGTATATCGTGTCGTATTTCATTTTCATAACTCAGTGTGTGTGTCTAATTGTATATCTAAATATACATATATATATATATATATATAGAAAAATCATTATATGTTACCCAAACTTAGATGATTTTTTTGGGGGTTGAGAGATGACTTTGTAACATATTATAGGCCAAAACCAGCTGTCACGAAGGAAAATGGAATTAAAAGGACTGTTAGGGTAAGGCCGCAAGGGTGAGATTGCTCCGTTTTTATTATATTGGGACAAGATTATACCAATAAATATTTTAGGGTACTGAGTCCATATTCAAAAATAATTGAGAGTGTGCTGGTGCATCTTTACTCTTATTTTAATCATTTTTTTAAGAAATATGTGCTTCTTTGATGGCAAAAAAAAAAAAAAAAAAGAGTACGTGCTTATTTAATCCCTATGAAAATACCTCAATTAATTCACACATCCAATAACAATTAAAAGCATTAAAACAAACAGAGTTTGGGTCTAACAGAAAAGACTAGTCTTCTACAACGTGAAGAACTAAGATTTGAATCCCTACTGGAAGATGTGCCTACCTTTAGTACTTGATAATGCCTCGAACAGGATTGTCTCCAATAGAATGATACATGTCCTTACAAAAAAAAACCATTAAATTTGTTATAAAATTCAAGTGGTTTCCAATATTACTTTAATTATTTTTTTTTGCTTGAATATTACTCTAATTAATTATACTAAATTTTAACATCACATTAATTTCGTACAGAGAGAATGAAAAATTGTCCCTTCTAAGATAGGATGAAAAATTTCTTCTAAAAGGCTTCTTGTAAAAAGGACTTTTCTGACAATTCTCCCTAGCTCATCAATAAACGACCCCACTCTTCCCGTCTCTCTTTAATTTCCCCGACCTCCCCTCCACACTCTCTTCATCCCCTTCCCCCTTTTCCCTTCATCTCCCTCTTATTTGTATTCTTTGGCGTATGCCATTACTCAAATAAAGTCCATGTTATCTTTTTCGTAGTACATAATACTTTACTTATATTTCCATTTAATTGAAAAAATAGAATTAAAAGGTAAATATCTATATTTATTCTATTTTTACCTTCATATTTCATCATGCTCTTGATTTTTTTTTTCATAATATCTACATATATTTAATTCTATCTTTTTCATATTAAAGATATTTACCTTTAAAGTCCATTTTTATACAATTAAATGAAAAGGTAAATAAAATATTGTGAATAAAAAAAATCAACTTGAAATTTATCTGGGGTAATGGCACACATAAAAAATACGAGAGACAGAGAAATGGCAGGGTAAGGGGAAGAGAGAGCGGCGTGGGGTAAAATTAAAAAGAGATGGGTGGAGTGGAGTCGTTAATTGATGAGGGAGGGAGAGTTATTAAAAATGAAAGAAGTATTATTAAAAACTTTTAATTAATTTTTCTTGCACGCTCTCATTATCAAAATTTTATAACCTCGTTCCTTTAATTTTTGAGAGAATTATCAAAAGGTCTCAAAGAAAAAATTTAATTATTAAAAAATCTTAAACCAACCTGAACCTATTGTCATATCCTACTCTAAAACTTGTCATTACATGCTTTTTACTTATTAATAGACTTTAGAGTAATTAAATCCCTTTCTTAGGATCTGATTATAATTCTCCCTTAATTTTTCTGGTTTGTGTGTATATATACACGCATGCTCACGGATGCACGAGCACGAGCCATGAACTGAACCTACTGAGAGAGACCAAAGAGTTTTGGTATCCCTGCGACATTCACTTGCCAAACAATGAATCCTTACCTGATGAGGTCCCTCCCCTCAGTTTCTGCACCTCAAAACTCATCATCATCCTATAAGAGTCGCCCTGCGATTCCTCAATCCTTACTCCCCTGTCATTATGTTTCTGCCACCGGTATTCTTAACTTCGAATATCGTCAAAAACGCATTCAGAAGAGTCGTGGGGTTGTCTGGAGCCAGAATAACAGTGAAAGCTGTGGCAGAAACCTCAGTATTATTACTGGTGTTCTTGAGAAGCCAAGAGAGAGTCTGGTTGATGAAGGAAACAGAAAGACGACGTCTTTCATTATGCCTTCAGAAATCAAACCCTTTCAAGGTGGTATTGGCATCGTCAACTTTTTTAAAGGCAAGAACTTCCTCATCACTGGTGCAACAGGGTTCGTGGCCAAAGGTAATACTGTTTCACTTTCTTTTCCCTGCATGAAATTTCCCAGGAAAAGTCAGGTGCGTTTCCTTGAAATTAGTTTTAGGCCTGATGCGTGACTACTCCTCGTATATATACCTATTTTCTTATCTGTTATAGAACACCACTCATCAGGATCATGTCGGGAAGTCACGCCTCTGATACTCCACTCTCTAATTTAAGAGTATTTTTCTTTGAAATATCGTAAAAAAAAAAAAAAAAAATAGAACTACACAACTTCATGCTTGTAAGATATTAAAATGTAACTCATCTCATAGGAAAAAAAAAAAACATACTTTGGAGATTCTGACATTATCAAAGGCATTCGAGAGTAGGACATTAGAGGCCCTTTGACCAATGGGGTCATGGTTTGTGTTGTATTAATTTAGATAGTGACTAATACAATTAACACAGAGAAGCATTCCAAATTTGCAGTTATTGTGGAGAAGATCTTAAGGATGGTTCCAGAAACTGGAAAGATTTTTGTGTTGATCAAGGCAAAAGACAAGGAAGAAGCTATGGAAAGACTCAAAGCTGAAGTGAGTTTTTTCCCTTATATAACACAATCACTTGCAGATACTAATTAACATGCATATTGTGATGAACGTGCAGATCATAGAATGTGAAGTTTTCAAGAAAATCAAAGAGGGTCATGGAGAAAATTATGTGGAGTTCATGATGAGGAAGCTGATCCCAGTGGCTGGGACAGTGTGTGAAGCTGATTTGGAGATGGATGCCAACACTGCAAATGATATTGCAAACCAAGTTCATGTGGTGGTCAACTCTGCGGCCACCACCTCCTTCGATGAGAGGTTAGTCATCATATATTACTCTGATATGGTCTATATGTTAGTTATTTACAAGTGATTCTCACATGCATATCAAGAAAGGAAAAAAAAAACATTAGACTGATAAATTTGTCCACGTTTGCCCTTATTAAAGAATGTTTTGCATTTTCACTCATCTATTTTCTTTGGTTTATTGTATTCACATGGCTAGAATTGAAAAAGATCATTATCATCATACAAATGACTTACATTTAGAACCAAACTTTTCTCATGCAAATAACTCAACTAGTAGTATTTTAGTTACACACGTGAATTTATGACATCAATACAATCATATTGGTGGCGTTTTTAATATCAAAAGCCTATTTAAAGTTGTTCTGATTAACTTCTCATGGATGTGACTTCTATCCATGTGAAGTTTGACACATACCTATCCATACAAACCAGCCTGTGTGTATAAATAATTTTATTTCTTTCTTCATTTTTGGGTTGATTGATATTAATTAGCTACAGTGGTCATAAAATGAAATTTTCCCTATATTTAATGAGTAATTGCTCTTTCCAATGAGATGGTTAGAAGTATCCCATTTTGATTTATAATATAAGTCACTTTCAACTAATTCATCAAAATCCAAAAATATAGTTAATTAGTTAAATCTATCGTACTAAATTGTCAAAAGTTGAGGATTTGAAAGAGGGAGAGAGAACTGTGAAAAATACAGTCCTATTTAAACAAGAATTGCGGGAGTAAAATTGATAAATAAGAAATAATTATTTTGAAAGTGATGACTTATGTATACAGTGAACCCAAAAAATCCTTCCAAAAATGCCTTATATATTCTGGGTCACCGGAAGGAAGTAGAAGAAATACTATTTGGAAGAAAAGCAATTAACAAAACATACCCCTACTGACATGTGAGTTGGAAATTCTCAAATCTCTGTTCTTAATCAATTCACTTTCAGGTACGATGTGGCTCTAAACACAAATACCAGAGGACCTTTTCGTCTCCTAAACTTCGCGAAGAAATGCAAGAATCTTTGTCTTTTCTTTCATATATCAACAGGTATAAGACGAGAACATACAGCATATAACTGATTTTCTTTTATATAAATAAGTGAACTTAAATCCAATATATGTGATATTCAGCTTATGTTGGTGATGGAGAAAGAAAAGGGACAATAAGGGAGAAGCCACTTTACATCGGACAAAGAAGGGTTAGGGCAATCACAGAACAGGACATAGATTTTGAACTAAAGTTGGCATCAGAAATGCTGGATTCACTCAAACAGGATCAAGCAACTCAGAAGATGAAAGACTTGGGTATTCAGAGGTACGCACATAGGGATGTTTTTATGTACATGTTTACTTGAAAATTGGAGATCAATTTGTTTAGCTCATAATTTTTGCTTAAAAGAATATATTGATATATAAATTTACATATGTATATATTTATAAGAACAGGGCAAATATGTACGGATGGCCAAACACGTACTCATTCACAAAGGCGATGGGAGAGATGTTAATAAGCAGCTTCAGAGATGGCACACCAATGGTTATTCTTCGTCCCACTGTGATTGAAAGCTCTTACTCTGAGCCTTTCCCTGGTTGGATTCAAGGATACAGGTCCCATCCTATCTTCCCGTGCGCCATTTTCATTTTTCATTGCAGAACAGAGTTCTTGATCCACTTATATTTAATTATTCAAGACAAACACAAGAATAAAATGATCATAATTATTTTTAGTCATTGCATTTTTCTGTGCTACCTTTCATCATATAATTTTTCTTCTTCTTTCTTTCATCATAAAACAGAGTTCTTGATCCACTTATATTTAATTATGGGAAGGGTCATCTCCCTGGATTTCTTGGAGACCCTAATGCGGTTATAGATGTGGTAAGTTTAGGTCAATTATTTTTCATTCACAAATAATAAAGGTTTAGGTTTATTATATACATGCAGGTTGATTTTACTAACAGATGTGTGCCCTAGTAAAATAGAACAGGCCTAACCCAACTCCATTTGTATTAGCTGTGTTAAATAGGACTTTGAATACTGACTGGGTGGCAAATATATGTTTAAGCAAAAGATTAATGATTCGGTGGAATGCATGCAGATTCCAGTAGATATGGTTGCGAATGCCACAATGGCGGCAATTGCGAAACATGGGGCTGCCACAACACCAGATTTAAGTATCTACCACATTGGATCTTCTGTGGCAAACCCTATTTCATTTGGAGCTGTGTTTGATTATGCTCGTCGCCATTTCAAGTCTTTTCCATTGGCACAGTCCTCAAATAGGAATCAAAGTCTCATTCAGAAGATGAACTTCTTGAACTCTTTGGATGACTTCTCTTCTTACATTTCAATGGAAATGGCAAGGCAAACTGGATTCTTACAAGCAACAAATGTTGAAACTAATCTCCCAAAAGAAGTCCACAAAGAAAGCACAGCTTTTAATTCACTTGGCTAAGCTCTATGAGCCATACATGTTTTATAAGGCATGGTAAGCAAAATTCTCAGATGCGTCTAATGATACTAATGTCAAAGGAAAACCTTATCACTACTTGAGCTTCCAATCTTTATAACTTTCAGAAGTCCCAATATTTAACGTTGACTTCCCAATTGGACTTTTATCATCCTTCATAGATTTAGTTGTTCAGAGTTTTCCACTTTAACAGGAATCACTAATAAGCACACTGTACTTCCTTTACTTTATTCTTTTTTTAAGCCACTAATCATTTTCGGTTCCTATTTCTCAATACTCTAGTTACATGATTTTAAACATCTTATATTCTCAATTTACAACACAATATTCAGTTTGTAGAGGACAAGTGTTTATAGTTTGTAGAATTGAGCGTGAAGTACTATGGTTTGGCAGGTTTGATAGTGGAAATACCCAGAGGCTATATGGAGAAATGTCGGCTGAAGAGATGAAGGACTTTGGATTTGATGTGAAAAGCATAGATTGGGAGCAATACATATCCAAAATTCATATCCCTGGTGTGAGAAAGCACCTTTTGAAGTGTTGAATTCTTCAGGAGGAAGGGCTATGTGTAATAGTAGTAACTCCATCAGTTGATATTTGATATTCATCAACTACTATCATGTATTTAATTATATTGCTTATTTCGATGTTCTGCTTGTCGATCGATCAGTGTACGTATGATGTAGAAGAAACAATATGTTTTGATTTCGTTAATTACTATTAAATGATCACTCATTCCTGCTTTTCTTTGTTACTTGATAAAGGGAATCGCTTTCTGCGGTTGTAAATTGTAATCAACATCTTACCGAGTGTATATGAAATATTATTAAGAATTCCTCTCAAGTTTCACTACAAAAAAACAGCTGATTAGCGACGGAAACAAATTCCGTCACTAATTACTGACAGAATTTGCGACAGAAACAAATTCCGTCGCTAATTTCTGACGGAATTGCGACGGAAATTCCGTCGCTAATTTTTTTGACGGATTAGTGACAGAATTTTTTCGTCGCTAATATTTGCGACGGATTAGCGACGGAATTTCCGTTCGTCGCTAAATTCCGTCGCTAATCCGTCGGAAAATCCATCAGTAAATATTTAGTGACGGAATTCGCGACGGAATTTTTTCCGTCAGAAATTTCCGTCACTAAATTGTTTATCACAGAAGTTTTTGTCACTAATTCTGTCGCTAATTCTATTCCGTCGCAATTTCGTCACTAATCCGTCACTAATTTTAAATTTCGTTATTTTAAATTATAATCTTACAAAAATTATATTATAACAATTAAGAATATAATAATTTAAAAATATTTTTAATTATAAAATAAATTGATATACTTATGGAGTTGGTGTTAATGAAGATATCGTTATCATTCATGTTATCATTATGTATATACTGAAAATAGAAAGATAATTTCTTAGAAAACTTATTTATATTTTGTTAAAATAAATTCCTCTTGATTATTAATAATAATTAAAAAATACAATAAGATTATTAATAACTTTTTTATAAAAAATGATATAAGAAAGAAATAATTTTATCATATGTAAAATATATTGAAATATATAACATGTGATAGAAATTCAAAACGATTTAATAAATTTATATGAATGCAAATTAATATTGAAGTGAATTTTGAATTTCAATCATTAAACAATAAAATTTAATCACGATATAATTAATACCCATGATAGATTGATTTTGGTCTTAATACAAAAACAAATGGTATATATAAAAATTTTTAAGAAAATAAATAACATAGGATATATATACAAGCAGGAGAATACTGTTTGTCATAATCTATTCAAATTATTTAATTTTTATATAGAATAATTTATTAGATTTTATTATAGTAGTTATTTTTTGAATAACAAGATTTTTTGACTAATTATAAATGATTTTCTTCAAATATATAAAACACATATAGATAATATAATATAATGTAATATAATACATATATCATTAAATTGTATATCTTATCAATGTTAATTAAAAAATAAATTTAAAAAATATTTATAAAAAAATTATTTATGATTTAAAATTCAAGATTAGTGCGGTTAGAAATTAAAATTATATTAAAAATATTTTTTAAGAATAAAAAATTATTTAAAAAATATTAAAAAATTATTTTTTTATTAAAATAGTTATGATTAAAATTATCATATAGTATATTTTCAGTTTTTAATAATATATATAATTGTTTGTGTAAAATAATATTATATATATATATATTTAATTTTATATAATAAGTCAACAGGTTCATTGCAACTCAACTGGTAAAGCCGCACGCGCGCACAGAGGAGGTCCTGGGTTCGAGCCATGGAGAAGTCACTTTGAAGAGAAAATTATGTGGTGGTGACACGTGGCAGGCAAAGGTGACATGTGATGTGGCAAGCAGAGGTGAGGTGGCGACGGATTAGTGACGGAAAAATAGTGACGGGAAATTTCCGTCGGTAATTAGCGACGGAACAAATTCCGTCGGTAATTCCGTCACTAATCCGTTTCTGTCGCTAGTCCGTCGCTAAATTCCGTAACTAAAAGCATGTTTTTTTGTAGTGTTTGTATTGAATTTTCTTTTTACACTAATATTGCACTTAAAAATTCCAGGAAAAATTTGAACCGCCCTAATTTGCGATAAAAGATCAGAGAACTCCATAGGGAATTATACATACTTGACCTTGTTAACATTCGCAGAAACATCCCTGGGATATTAAATTATACGAACGCTCTCTAACTCTCCGTTAACTTTTGTCTATTTTTCATCTTGTAATTAAAACACATCTTCCATGTATTTCAACGTCTGCGGCTTCCCTTTTTTCAATGTCAGCTGATCTTTGATTGCAATTTCGGCATTTGGAAAGGGAAGGAACTGGGATTCCCATGATCGTACGGAATTCGGTTTGGGGGATCTCCAATCTGACACCGTGTGAAGTGAAATTTGGAGTGAAAACTATATTTTATTATTCACAAATCACAAGTGACAGATATATATGCAAGAGCACGTATATCTGATATCTTAATTATACAATCTTTTCTCTCTCTACAGTATTCTTTCATATCCCTCCATATCAGCTCGCCTCTCTCAGGATCTAATGATATCGTATCTCAACCTCTAACAAGTAATAACTATGTAAATGTCTCACAGACACACATTTTGCTACTTTATATATAATACTTAATTAGTCTGTACGTGTAACGTGCGAGCACGAGCCATGTACTGAACCTACTGAAAGAAACCAAAGAGTTTTGATATCTCTACAGCATTCACTTCAAAACAATGAATCCTTACTTGATCAGATCCCTCTTCTCAGCTTCTGCACCTTAAAACTCTTATAAAGTCACCCTGAGATTCTTCAAACCTTATTCCCATCGTACGATTAATGGTCGACCAAAAGTACTCTTAACTTTCAGAATCAAAGGCGCATTCAGATTGAAAGGTTGAAGAAGAGTTGTGGTGTTGTTTGTAGCCAGAACATCAGCGAAAGCTATGGCGGAAACCTCAGTACTGCTGCTCCTCAGAACCCAAGAGCAAGTCTTGAAGGCAGCACAACGACGCGTTCATTGTGCCTTCAGAAATCAAACCCTTCGAAGGAGCCATAGGCATTGTCAACTTTTTTAAAGGCAAGAACATCCTCATCACTGGTGCGACAGGGTTTGTGGCCAAAGGTAATACCGTTCATCACTTTTGTTGCATGAAATTTCCCAGAAGAAGTCAGGTGCATTTAATTCTTTGAAATTATATATGTTCAAGATATTTTCAGTCCTGATGCACGACTATTTTCTTACCTGTTATCATCACCTAAAGTTGTTACTTCATACTACCTCCTTTCGTTAATATATAAAAGCTAGTTTGACTTTCAATTGGTCCTAAATATAAGACCAAAATCTACTTTATCTTTCATGTATATTCATTTTTTTTAAATAGTCATTGTACTAGTTACACATATTAAAGATTCTATTAAATGGTAATTCTAACTAATAGACATGATTAACAGGGGTGTTATAGGAAAGATAATACTTATTTATTACAAATAACTAATTTACTAAAAAATTTTAATCTATTCAAATTAGTCAACTAGTTTTTGTATTAAGAATTGGAGGTAGTATATCACGTGAAGAACATGTGAACACTGAAATGGTATAGAACATGCACCACTGAAGATGGTGTCATGTTCTGAGTTCTATTAGTTTAGATATAGCGAGGATTTAACACACAGAGGCATCCAAATTTGCAGTTTTTGTGGAGAAGATATTGAGGATGGTTCCAGAAACTGGAAAGGTTTTGTGTTGATCAAGGCAAAAGACAAGGAAGCAGCTATGGAAAGACTCAAAGCTGAAGTGAGTTTTTTGCCCTTATTATATAACACAATCACTTGCAGATACTAATTAACATGGATATAACGATGAACACACAGATCATAGAATGTGAGGTGTTCAAGAATCAAAGAAGGTCATGGAAAAAGTTACATGGAATTCATGATGAGGAAGCTCATCCCAGTGGTTGGGAGAGTGTGAAGCTGATCTGGAGATGGATGCTCACACTGGAAATGATATTGCAAATCAAGTTCATGTGGTCGTCATGCTCTGCAGCCACCAACTCCTTGGGTGAGAGGTTAGTCAGAGTTTATATATATTTCTCTAATCCTTATTTATAAGGCACTTATAAGATATTTTACAGAAATTAAGAAAAACATTAACTCCATTAATTCTATATGTCACGCTGGTCCTTATTATAAGTCGCTTGTAGAAAAAATTGTTTGTTCTAAATATAAATCTTGCAGGATATTTAATGATGGCCTTTTGATTTTAGCCTCATTTAATTTTTGGTGAAAAGAGAGAAAGACGAGAGAGGTGAGAATAATTTGTAAGCATGGAGAGGAAAAAAAACTTTAATAAGAGTAAATTTAAAATTTAATCCATTTATCAATATGTGAAAATGAGTTACAAATAACTCATAATAAGGATCGAAGTGGTACTTTAAATTTTTTTAAAACAAGCTCATCAAAATTTTTCCTCCCTTCTTTTTTTCTTCATTTCCCTCGTACCAAACATACTCTAATGGTTTCAGTGGAGGAAAAAAAAAAAAAAAGACTGGGAGCAAAGGAGGAGACGTGAATTCATGACATGATGGTAAGATGCTGATACCGTATCAGTGATGCGATCAACTTGGCGTCTGTTTCAAGTTAAAAGCTTATTCATAATTAATGTCACGTGGATGTGAACTCTAGCCATGTGAAGCTTGATAATTGACACGCACCGACACTAATACGTGTGGGGTGTTTGGTGCTGGGTAAAACACTTAAAATATTTTCACGCAACTGAAACAAAACTTATTCCACATATTCGTTTTGAATATTATAAAATCACTTCTATAAAATTAATCCAAACACCCCACAGAATGATAAATATTCTTTTTTTTTATGTAAAGACTGATGAAAATTCTATTCATATAAAGTTTGACACATCACATATATTAATCCTAGTTTATAATGTATTACAAATTTAAATTTTATATTTAGGATTGAAGGTAATATTATTTCTTTCTC